TCCATATGTGCACACATGGGTGAGTTCATACGTACACCACCATACATACACACACACAATTATATTCATGTGATAATCACAACAAAGTGCTCTTAGAAGGAGGTGATTGATAGACCCTCATTTGACCTATTTTAAGGATAATTTCATCCAGAAAAGATGAGTCAGTAAGCCTAGCATCCCGGAAGTTTCTGCAGAGTTTTAAAAATCAGCTCCACCTTGCTATCTGTTACTGTGAGTGTCAGAGCTTGAACAGAGCACAGTGATTATAAAAGACACCTTTAGCTGAAGGCCGAAGCTGTCACAGAAATGACCAATATTTGTCTCTTGACCTTTTTTCATTTTAACCAGGTCTGTCAATGTTCCACACATACAGATACCTGACCCTATAATAAAGACTGCCCAAGCTACAATAGCAGCATGGCTTCCAGACATCGGCTAGCACCCTGGCTGCTGCCTCTAAGCTTCTCTCAGCAAAATATCTTCCTGTCACACTAAACCATGGTGTGCATCCAAATTACAACACGGACTATCTGTAGAGAACAGCTGTTGATACCCACATATCTGAATATTCCCTCAGCCACCTAAGTTACAGATGCATGGGCTAAGAGGAGTTTCCCTCAGGTCTCTAGAAATACAAATGCTATATAAAACAATTCTTAAAAATCCTTTTTCGTGAAAGGGGAGATAGCCCAGTCAGTAAAATGCCTGCCAAACCAGCATCAAGACATGAGTTTCAATCCTTACTACCCACGTAAAAAGCTGGGTGAGGTGGCATGCCATTGGCTGTAACCCCAGTGTCTGAGGACAGAAATAGCAGGATCCCTGGAGTTCACAGGGCAGCCAGCCTAACTGAACTGGTGAGCTCCAGGTTCAGTGAGAGACCAACAGTAAGGTGGAGAGAGACAGAGGAAGACTGTTAGTGTGTACCTCTGGCTTCCACATGCCAACAGGTCACCTGCACACAACCACATGAACACATACATACACTCCCATCATCACCTGGCTTCCTTATCATTCTCATCATCCTCATCCTCATCCCCATCATTCTCATCTTCCTCCTCCTCATTGTCATCCTCATCACCCTCCTCATCCTCATCATCCTTCTCATCTTCCTCCTCCTCCTCATCATCATCCTTTTAGTATATCTTTTATTCTTAAACTACCTTTCAGTATATTAACAAGCCATTAAGTGTCCTACCTGCTAACTGAAAACACACCTCTTCCCGACTGTTGAAAGAACTGATGTCATTGAAGAATACCTTCCTCCTTAGAAAATTTAATTTCTCAGCAACAACTAATTTCTGTACTGGAGATGCAGAGGCACCCATGGGGTATATGAAAAGCAGGTTTGGACTTACTAAGTGGCAGGATAGTCACTGATAGAGAGCAAGTAACCATCTGAATTGCAAAAGGGCTTCAAATTCTCTTTGGAATACACGTTGACAACCAAGGAAGATGGACAGTAGATACCCAGCTTTCCCACAGGCATGGCCAAAAGATGAGCTATGGCATAGGTTTTATTCTTAGTCCTTTACCCAGTGTCTGAATGGCAGGTTGGGTTACACTTTCCTGCTGGCTTCTGGCACAAACACTTTACTTGGAAGACCTCATGCCAGTAACGAGGTTACTGTTTGCCATTGCTTGACAGCCTTGGAGCTGGGACCCATGCAAGAAATCATGTAAGACAACCATGCATTTCACCCACAGGGCTAGTAAGAGCAGAAGAGAGGGTCCACAGCATATGATGCACAAGATGGTACACTGTGGACAGACAGACCAGATGACAGGCGAGTGGATGAATAACAGTCCAAGGTTTGACACCAGTAAGGAACTCCTCATTCTCCTAAGTGCCTCATCATCAACTGTTTGTTTGTTTGTTTGTTTGTTTGAGACAGGGCCTCCCTGTAGCCTCAGCTGGCCTAGAACTAGCTATGTAGACCAGGCTGGTCTCGAACTCACAGAGATCCGCCTGCCTCTGCCTCCTGAGTGCTGGGATTAAAGGTGTGCGTCACCACGCCCAGATAGGATTTATTTCATTTCTTAAATTTTGTATATGTGGGCAGTGGAGAGATGGCTCAGAAGTTAGAGCACTGGCTGCTCTTGCACTATGTAGACCAGGCTGGTCTTGATCTCACAGAGATCCGCCTGCCTCTGCCTCCTGAGTGATGGGATTAAAGATGTGCACCGGTGTTCCTGGCTATCATTAACTGTTTTAAATCTAGACTAGTTGCCCCCTTTCTCTGGGGTTAATTTTCTTTTTCTTTGAGGGATCAGAAAGCTCTCTCAGGTCCTTTCAGAGTCTTTGATTTCTTGAAGCAAGCTAACTATGCAGCACTATTCAACTTGGCAGATGCCAAGGCTATTCAGCCAGACTCACCTAGAGTTCATGGTCCATCATTAAGGACAGGCCTCATTCATCTAGACTAACCCTATCAGGGAGGCTGCCTGATGTGCACACAGGTTTTGTTCTCAGAAAGGGGCTGTGAGTAGAGTTCCACCAAAGAGAATCAAGATGTGCAGATAAGAGAACAGGAAATTAGCCACAGTGGTAGATGCCTATAATTCCTGACACTAAGGAGGCAGAGGCAGAAGGTGGTCAAAAGTTCAAAGCCAGCCTGGTTCCAGACTAACCAGGGCTCCATATTGAGACCCTGATTCAACTCAAAAGACAAAAAAGAGGAGAAGAGAGGAGAAAAGAAAAAGTTAGCAGCTAAGTGGCTAGGTCTTGCTTCACAGAAAACTTGGTAAGTTACCATTTCCCACTCCCGAGTTACTATGGAAGTTGACCTGCATCGGCTCTTGTGAGCTGTCTACGTACAGAGCCTTCTCACCTTGCCTAGATTCCAAATTCCATGCAAAGTCGACGCACAGATAGGCACCATAAAGGACTCTTCTCCCAAAGACTGCTTTTCTAATTTTCAAAGCAGCAAGGGCGGTGGGCGCTGTATACACAGGCAGCTGTAAGGCCAACTATGCGTGACCATGTCTCCCCGCCAGCTATTTCTTTCTCAAGCTCAACTCCTCCCTTCTTTGACTGTTCCAGGAAATGCTGGAGGGGAGGTGAAAACCTGCCTTTCTTAGGCATAGAATAAGGGAAGTAGGAGTATCATCAGTTTAAGTTTCTTCCTCATCCAGGCCTGTGTCTAAACTATCCAAACGCCTCTATTTTAGCTTCTGTTTTAAAGACTCAGCAGCCTCTGAAAGGAGCCTTCCTGCGTCAGCCTCTTTATACCTCTCCCCCCTCCCTCTTGCTGACCCTGCACCTTGCTGGCATGTTAGCCTGCTTCCTCTCCTCTGTGCAGAGTCATGGCCCTCAGGTGTTTGTGTCATGCTTAAAGTAGGGCCAACTTTAGTGTTTGGTATCCATTACTGCTCTGGAAACCTCAGAAGGTGCTATGCGGAGTCATGGGTTATGTGATAATGGTGCAGTGCTACCACCTTGGTCTATTGTCCACATAAAGGAGTATCAGGAGGTATTATCAAGTCCCAGGGTTCTTGGGTTTGGGTTTGGGCATGGGCACAGCTGGGAAACTTCAAAGAACTTAAAGAGAAAAAGGTGAAAAGGCCTCGTGTGGAAAAACAAGGGCCGAAGTGGAGGGCGTAACCAAGCACAGCAAATGTACCCCGTGGAACACCATGCCCTGGGGGGCAAGCCCTGGTGGGTGTGAGTGCCCTCTGTCCTCCTCTGCTTCAGGGAAATTGGGGAAATGGAGGCAGGGAGGGGAATTGTTCTAGCAGGTGGTCCAGATGCCGAAGTTATGGTAGTGACTGGAGAGGCTGCTACACAGCCTTAGAGGTCAATGGAGAGACACACTCCAAGGGGCTACCTCAGAGCCCCATTGGAGCTGCCATGTTGAGAAGGTCTCCTTTTGAGACCCACACCCCAAGGACCTCCCTCAGAGGCTCAGCCCAACCACCATATTGAGAAGGTTGCCTGGAGGAGACTGAAACAAAGACCGGCAGGGTAGGCCCAAGGGGGAATCTCTGACATGTCCTGAGCTCTGCACCAGACAAGCAGCATCATCTTATGAAGATGCTGTCATGGTTACAGGCATTTTGCAGGGCATGAAACAGAGGTTCAGATAGGCTCTGAAGAACCCTACCTGTTGGGTCCTGGGGCCTATGCTCTTCATGCTTTCGTTTTTACCACCTGGCCTTCCCACTTTCGGAGGAAACTCCACTTTTCAAAAGCCCAAACTCTCAGACTATCATTTCCCATGGGGGCTGGGTATGGTTTAAAGGCATGGTGGTGCCCACATACTGGAACTCTAGCTCTGCCTCAGCTCCTGGGCCAGGGTGTGGCCCTGGAAGAGTGTCACTCCTGTGTTTACTCAAAGATAGTCATTAAGTCACTGCGAAGACATTTTTCCTTCAGACTAAACAACCCCACTCCTTTTTTAAACACTCTCCTCACAGGGGCTCTTTTTTGGGACCGTCTTTCTATATTTACTGGTCTTCCTTTCCACCCTTCCATTCTCTATTTTAAACAATCCTAGAATAAGATTTTGATTTGTGCAAGAGAAGAACGAGAAAGAGAAGAAATACCACGTTCACAGTTTTCAATTCTGACCTTAGCAAATCAATAAAAAGCCGGTGTGGATGGGAACTCATCTCCTAGAAGCCATGTGGACCTCAGGCTGTGGGGTTTTTGTTTTTGGTTTTTTGTCTCATTCTGTTCCTGGCCAGTCTTCCAGTTCAGATAATGCTGAACTCCACTATGTGTGTTTCGGTCTAGTCCTTAGCCCCATAAAGTCCCCAAATGGTTCTTGCTCACTTGAACTGGCTTAATTTCCTTTTGACTTCTAAGAGAATGCTTCAGAAAGAGTCTAGCACATAGAAACAACCTTCGAGACGTGAGAGGTTTGACAAGGAGATCCTTCCTCCCAGCAGTGGCCTGATATCCCTCTGGGGGAGAAGCTGAAGTCCAGGGTTGTGAGATCTGATGGGTCTTCAACTGCACAAGCCCAGGGATTGTACCAGCCCCAATGGGGCCCACTTACTTCGGGGTTCTCGGGGGCCGTCTACTGTGATTTTGATGGCTCTGTGGTACGTGGCGACTTGCGGTGGGTTTGTAAAGACGGTGATGGTCAGAGTGAAGCTCTTACCTGTGGAGACACAAAACAGAATAAAGTGCAATGAGGGGACGCCTTGAGTATCTCTGTAGGGCAACCTGTGGTTAGTCTATGTTCTCTAGCCCTCCCCTCGGGTCTGGCTTTGTTTATACTCTAGAATGCACAGGGTGGTATTCGCTAGGTGTGACACTTCACATAGTTACATGGCTTTAATTTAGTCACTAATAAACAACAGGGGATCAAGAGCTAGCAGAGCTTATTCCCACTCTGGAACTCACAGGGATCCACTCCCTGGCCCCTTGTCCTGAGTTGCTATTTTCCTCTCTGGGTGTTTATAAAATCCAGGCAAAGACGAATAAGCAATGACATGCCCAATTCTGAGCTGAGGAAGTCACCAGATCTGGACTTGTTTCTCAGGGTTCCATGTAACTTTTCTGATCTTATGCAATTTGGGGCTGGGGGAAGAATAAATGAACGAATCTGAGGAAAATCATTAGAACAGTATCTGCACTTGGTAACTAAAGGCACGTGTGTTGGTTACATCTCTTCTCTGCTTCTCAGAATACTATAATGGCATCCCAGCATTTGACTGAATATGATATTAACCTCTGCTGTGCAATTATTGTTCATTTAATACAACTTCTCCTTACTCATGTAATATAAAATGAAATTTAAAAACATACCATGCCCACTGGCTCCAAAAGGCATTAACTATTTTAATTAATTTTAATTCTGTGTATGAATCTTTTGTCTGTATGTATATAAGTGCACCACATGCATGCAATGTCCGTGGAGGCCAGAAGAGGGCAACAGATTCCTTGGAACTGGCTGGAGTTATGATGGTTTTCAGCTGCCATGTGGGTGGGTGCTTTGGAACTGAACCCAGCCAGTGCTCTTAACCACTAAGCCATCTCTCCAGCCCCAGCAATTGACCATTTTAAAACTCAACTTATCTTCCCACCAATTTAGAAAAAACACAATATCTCCAGTTGTAAAGTGTTTTAAAACAAGTGAGGCCATTAAGAAATGTTCATGGAGAAAGAATGCCATAAACAGCCACAGCGAGCGAGCGGAGCCATGGTTCCAGTCACGAAAACTCTCTCCAAACAATCCCCAAGGATCTGTAATCCATCTGCTAAAGTCTGTACTAAAGAGAACAATAGCAGTTGACAATGGGAGCAAAGCCCACTTTACCTGCTTTGTGAACAGCATCTTGGGTGGTCCGTTTAATGGACCCGACAAAGGTGCTTCTACAGAGTGGAGTTCCAGGACACAAGAGGCCCTGTACCTGATTTCTCTCTACCTCCTCAGCTGGCCTTGTCCTCGACAAGCTTGCCACCCGACTCAAATGCTTGTCATTGTCAGACATCCTGCAGATGTCACCAGGAGACACTCTATGGGTTTCCTATCGTGGCATCTTGCTGATGTGAAGGAAAGGTCAGCAGTGGCTCAGGCTCGGCACATCAGGGCCCGCTGATGTGAAGCCAGGCCTGGGGGAGCTGGCCACCGTGCTGCTCACTTTCCAGTTTTCTACAGAGCAGTGGTCATTGCACGTGGCCTCCTAAGAAAACAGATACGCTGTAGGCCTCACTCTGCCTGTCCTTTCTCAGCAAGAACTCATGATGGGTTGCCCCTGTGTCATCAAGATGGAACCCTAGCATCAGCTTCCAGAATCTTTTCTTGAGACTCTACCTCCCTCTTCTCCTCCCGTAGGTAGCCTGACTCATGGACTCCTGTGAGTTCAGTTCTTGAAGTAGGGCCTTGCAACTCTGAGGTATATACAGCCACCCCCACCACCACTTTGCCAGCCACTCTTGAACCTTTCTGCCTTCGAAGCCCAGCTGGCCACTGCTCACCTGTTGCTCAGGTGACCTTCCTTTAGGACAGTTTGCTCATATTTCCTGCAGCCTCCTAAATCACTCTTCACCTTGATTAATTAGGACTGTCTGCTTAGACACGGTTTGTGGCTGCCCAGGTCTAATCTGCCTGAGGGCGGGACCATGTGCTCCAACCCCAGCATCATCCCTCAGAGGTGTGAAGGGAGATAAGGGTGAAGCCTTCAGAACAGGGGTGGGGGATGTCAAGAAATGAAAAATAAAAAAATAGTTTGAGGGTACCAGAAATGGATAGTGACATAGCTTAGTCCTGAGTTGTTCTTGGTGTGTGTGTGTGTGTGTGTGTGTGTGTGTGTGTCTGTCTGTCTGTGTCTGTATGTGTTGGGGAGACAGGGAGAGTGAGGGCTGGTACCTCCAGCCAGAGGGTTAGAAGATTTGAATTCTCTTATATGTTTTTGCCTCCCTAAGTCCCAGCTTCCTCGCAGTATAGAGTGAGAGGCTAGTGGAAAGACTGTGGTAGGGCTCACAGCTCTCCAACACTGTCTTCTGACACTGTCTACTGAGCTCAGAGGGGTGGAATGCCTGTACTGTGGCTTGTAGCTTTCTTATAGCCTCTGCCCAGCCTGAGGCTGTGGGATGCCTGGGAAGTTCTGTGACCTTGGGTTGCCTGCAGTGTGGCTCCCAGCTCTCTAATGATGTCTTCTGAGTCCCTGGTCACCTAGCAGGCTGTCACTGGATGTAACTAAGCTGCATACCTCCAGGGAACACTGTGCTGGAACAATCATGGAGCTGCGGCAGGACACTGCTGCAGTCTGGGTGGCTTAATGCCCAGAGATCAGTCTCTCAAAGTTCAGGAGGCCACCAGGCCAAGATCAAGGTGTCTGCAGAACAGGTGGCTGGGGGAGGAGGCTCCTTCCTGCTCCTTCTGACTTGCAGGACTTGTCAGCAACCTTAGCTTTTGTCAGTAGCTTGCAATCTCGGTGCCCCAGCCCCTGACTCCACCTTCGCACAGCTGCCTTCCTACCATTATGGCCCATCTCCTGATCTCCCCATCCTTTGAAAGAATACCAGGCATGGACTTAGCTTCCACCCGAGTCTAATACGACATAGCATTAATGACATTGCATCTGTTCAGTTTCTCTAATAAAATCACTTTCTGAGATCTCTGGTGGGTGTGGAGTTCTAGGACTTATTCTTCATTCTGCACAAACACAAAGTGTCACAGAAGTCCTGGACTTGGCATTGCAAGTGCTCCTACACTACAAAACAGCCCACCTTCAACTGCTCTATCTACAACTTCCTAAAGAACAACGGAACAGTTTGTGTTCGTAACACTGACATTTTAAAGTTCTATGTAGAGCTTCCAACTTCTCAAGCTCATTCCCATATACGATTTGGGGGTAGATTTGGCCCTCAACAGTCTTGTGAAATGAACAAGGTAGATTTTACTACTCCTTAAAAGGATGCAATGTTAAGGCTCAGAAAGGATAAGTCATTTTCTCAAAATCACCCAGCTTAGGTTGGTGAGAGGGCTCAGAGAGTAAAGGTGCTTGTCACCAAGCCTGATGACCTGAGCTCCATCCCTGGGACCCACATGGTGGAAGGAGAGAAGCAATTCCTGCAAGTTGTCCTCTGACCTCCATGTGTGCTCCAAGGCAGGTATACACACATACACAAGGCAGGTATACACACTTACACAAGGCAGGTATACACACATACACACACTCTTAAATGAATTTATATATTACACACACACACACACACACACACACACACACACACACACACTTTAATGGCCCAGCTCAGCCACCCACAGAGCCTTGATCCCAAGAGACTCACACTCACTGATCTTTGTCTGCCATTGGTACTGTCCTCTCCACCCAAAGACTCCATGGACCCAGCAAATCCAATCCTCCTTCACCATTGTACCCCTCAAAGTGAAAATTGCCCCAGTGAATCTAACATACACAAACTGTACTTGGCTAGCTACTTGTGAACCTGGGTCAGAGTTCAACAGTAGTTTCTCACTGAGCTGAATTTGAGTTTCTGACACTTGAAAGCTCATTATGTGCTCCTGGTTAACCAACATAGGAGAGAAGTTCAACCAAAGGATAGCTACAAGGTCCTTGTTCACCCATCACTATTATTTTAGGCACATCATTTTGTGTCCAGACACAAGGAGTTTCTACCTAGCAACAGTTACCAGGTGGGGAGCCTGCATCAGTAATGGGGTTCACCGAGGAGATAAACTGGTGATCATCCTCACAGTGGTTTCAGGTTATAGCTGCATGTGTATACAGAGAGAGAGAGAGAGAGAGAGAGAGAGAGAGAGAGAGAGAGAGAGAACATGTATGGGTGTGCCTGTGGAAGGCTGAGGGATCTGTTTGTCTCCATTTTTCCAGTGCTGACAGCAAATGAACATCACCTGCCTGGCTGCTTTTTAAAAAATATACTTTGTTATTTTTATTTTATGTGTATGAATGTATTGCTTGAATTAAGTGCACCTGTCTTGTACAGTGCCTGTGGAGGTCTGAAGAGGGTGTGGGATTCCCCTGGAAGTGGAGTTAGGGATGGTTGTTAGCCGCCATGTGGGTGCTGGGAATTGAACCCAGGTCCTCTTCAAGAACAGCCAGTGCTCTGGACTGCTGAGTCATCTCTCCAAACCCCTACCTGGCTTTTTAAATGTGGGTTCTAGGGCATCTAACGCAGGTTCTCATAGTGCTTCAGCAGTTACTTCACCAACCAAGCCATCTCCCCAGTCCCGGTCACAGCTTTGAGTACAAGGACATCTGCTTATCCTGTGGATGGCAGTGACTTTTATTTTTCTCTAGGAGAATGTGACATTTTCCACTGGGTGAAAACCTGACCTCCATTCCTTTGTATTCTTCCAACTGGGCTTGGCACCATCATTGACAACAGGCTCCAGGTAGCCAGGAGTATATGTGAGGGACGCTCGAGCTTCAGGACCCACGTGCTCCGCTCCCCTCCCAGCCAGGCCCGTCCATGGCTGCTCAGACAAGGCCCTGCTTGGCTAGCACTTGAAGATGTGGGTGCTGTGGCCTGCAGCGCACATGTGTTATTAGCCAAATTCCCTCATTAAAATGACCTACGGGCTTGGTATTTTAAGTACGTGGGTGTGGAGAGCAAAAGACTTTCAAGTGTTTTTCTCAGCTAGCTGTGGCCAGAAGAGGAAGGAGT